CAAGGTCCTTATGATCAACTTTTCTATGCAGGTCTTCATCCAGTGGCAGGCAGACATTGAATACAGCAGTAGGCTCATGTGCATACATCCCAGAAGAGAATGACCCTCTCTGTGAAGATCGGAGTAGCATGGTCACAGAATGCAGAGCATGAGGCATGATGGTACCCGTGATCTCTAAACTAAACTGATCTCTGTACCCAGAAAGAGCGTGTGTCTTGACCTTAATGCTTCGTGCCTTCAGCATTTGCATTGAGGCACCTCGAAAGGCTACCGGGGATAAAAGGGTCGGAGGGAGGCCTGCCTGGGCACCCGAGGTGGCAACTAAGCTCTTGCAGTTGATCAAAAAATTGAGCAATGTGAAAGTGTTGGGTCCTCTCACCAGCACGGCAGACTCAGGCCTGTGATCCACTTGTACATCATGTTTTTCCCTCAGTAGCTTGATAGAGATCGTGTCTGGCTTTTTAATTTGATCTTGCACACCTATCTCTTCCAGCCAAGACAAGCTCTCCTCTTCATCTTCATCGCTGGCCGCTTGCTCCTCATCGTACTCCAGGTTTGCTTCTCGTGTTTTCTTCTTACAGCCACTTGCTTCCAGCAAAGGCAGAGAAAATTCAATACCTTCATCTTTCATCGCTTCTCTTAAATCTCTAGTTGTAGGAGATACGAGCGCTGTGACCACGTCACTTCCTGCTAACCCTGCTGCCCGGAACAGAACGGTAAACTGATAGGTGCAAACGTAGAAAAAGGGACAAAGCTTGTTCTTCAACAGGTTATACAAGGAAGTAAAACTCACAGACCAGTCACTCATTAGCGTATGCTGTAGAGTCTCATCGTGTGACCATGGGCTTGACTTTCCCGCCATTTTCCTATCAGCTCCAATTCGAGGAAACAGCGGCAGCCATGAAAAGGCAGGGTGAAGCCAGTAGACAAGAGTCTGCTGGAAGGCACAACGCAACTCAGTGCAGAGTCTGGGATCCTGTATACTCTGGGGTAAAGTAACTTCTGCTGCCCTACAATGCTGGATAAGACCTTGGGCTTCTTCCTGTGCTTTCAAATGATCTGCCCAGGAAAAGGGTTGAGAAGAGGTGAAAAGGAGCCGGGTTTTATTACTCCAGTCCGCAGGTAACTCAGTACCTTCTGAAGAAGTCGGATCTGATTCAGAGAATGATACATGCTGACTGGGGACAGTTCGGTGACGGTTCTTTCATGAGATGCTTCCTTCCACCGCAAATTGTTTTCTCCATTAGAATCTAAAAGCCAGTCCGGAGCTCCCTGCGGACCACGGGACGGCTCCTCACGGGCCTCTTCGGCGACCCGGCCAGTTGTTCAGGCTGGCAAAAGGATTTCTGCAAGGACAGCCGCGGGTCGCCGCCTCTGCCGCCCGCGGTCGGGAAGGGGATGGCTCTGAGACCTTTTCCGGGGAGCCACACAATCTCAGGCGGCCTCTTGAAGCTGGGCGAGTAGCTGGGCAGCAGGACGGCCATTGTGCAGCGCCGAGGCGGCCCTGCAGCCCGGCCTGCGCTTCCTGAGCTCCATCTTTGCATTCTTAAACAAACATTCCACAGCATAAATGAAAGGAACACATCCTAAACAAATATTCTACAACACTGTATAATGTTTAAAGCATGGCAATATTCACAATTTATTGGTTGCTTCCCACCCCTTCTTCCTATTTTAATGCTTTTCAATTATTCATCTTCTCACCATGATACTCTCTAATTTGGATATGTTGTGTGCCTAGGAACAGGAAAGAACTTATTAGAGTCCAGTGAATTCCCCTATCTCTGAACAAAGGTATCTCCAAGATCCAACCAGACACACCTTTATGTCCCAGTCTAAAGAACTGGAAAATTGTACCACTAAGCAGTTAGAAAGATCCCAACTTCTACTGCACCCTGTCCTAATCAGATTATTCCTTAAGAAATGTTGAGTTTGAGATGTCTTGTCCCCCCAGAGAAGCTATGTTCCAGTTGGTCTTTTTGTTCAGGCAGAAAAGCAAGAAACTAGTGAGAGATACCCTGTGCACAGGAAGGAAGGGAGTTGGCGAGAGATGCCCTGTGTACAGGAAGGAAGAGAGTTGGCGAGAAATGCCCTTTATTCAACTGCTCTTATCTGAGATAATCTGTGCATCACCTTGGCACCCTTTATTCAACTGTTCTTATCTGAGATAATCTGTGCATCACCTTGGCACCCTTTATTCAACTGTTCTTATCTGAGATAATCTGTGCATCACCTTGGGATGGAGATTAAATTCTTGGATCTCCCTATGATTGGCTCACTCATGGAGGGATCTACCAAGGACAGGAATGAAATCTCTATGCAAAGAATCCTCCATGTTAAGAGTTCTTCAGAGACAGGCACAGTGGCGGCAGTCTGCAGAGTAAGGTAGGCCTGGCAGTGGCTGGCAGAAACAGGTAGGCCTGGTGGCAGCAGGCAGAAGCAGACAGGCCCAGCGGCTTCGGCTGGCAGAGGCAGACAGGCAGGGTGGTGGCGGCCAGCAGAGGCAGGTATGCCCAGTGGCAGCCGGCAGAGGCAGACAGGCGCGGTGGTGGCTGGCAGAGGCAGGTAGACCCGGCAGCAGCTGGCAGAGGCAGATAGGAGGCCCGCGGAGGCAGGCAGGCCTGGTGGGCAGCGGCCAAAACAAAGTTGCAATAAAGACCAGAAACTGAGCAATTACCCGCTGAAGAGTTGGTGAAAACAAGCTCTTAATAAAGAACTTGGAACGGGGATGCCTTTAATCCCAACACCCAGGGAAGAAGCTATCTCTGTGGGACAGAACCAGAACAGATCTGAACACCCTGTCTGAGGCCAACCCAGGGCCCAGCTGCTGATCCTGCGAAACCCAACAACTTGGAGGTGTTGGTGAGACTACCCTGCTCAGCTGAAATCCACCCAGGAGAGGGTTCAGACCCCTACAGTTTGAAGTCTGAGGAAACAATATGAGCTGAGGAGTTGATGAATGAGCAAAACGTGAACTGAGAACACAGAAGAAGGCGCTGCCCAGCCACCGAACCAGATCACCAGAATCATAAGAAACAGCCCAACAGCACCAATTTAACCAAGAACTTCTAGTGAACCAAGAATAAAAATTAGAACAAGAAAGGTACTCTCAGACACAGACACCGCCTGCACCAAGCAGAGGAAGAGATGAGTAGACGCTAGTGCAAAAATACAGGCAATGACATAAAGACCTACTTGGCAACATCAGAACCTAATGATTCTACACCTGCAAGACCTGAACATACCAAGACAGAAGAAACAGAAGAAATCAATTCTAAAAATGACTTTAAGAAGATGACAGAGGCCCTTAAAGAAGAAATAAAAATTTCCATTAAAGAGGAAATAAAAAAATTCTCTTAAAGAGGAAATGAAAAACTCCATTAAAGAGGAAATAAAAATTCCCTTAAAGAAATGGGAGAGAAAACGAACAAAAAATGGGAAGAAATCAAAGAAAGCCAAGAAAAAGCAATTAAACAAATGAAAGAAACATTCCAAGATCTGAAAAATGAATTTGAGACAATAAAGAAAACACATGCTGAGGGAATGCTGGAAATAGAAATCCTGA